TGGAATTTTGCTAAGGGCCCTTAATTTTGAGGTTTGGCCACTAAATGGATTTAACAGGTTGAAAATATCCCTCGTTTAAAACTATTTTTTTTATTTATGAATCCATAAAAAATTATATCCAATGTTTGTGGAGGCCCTTAAAGTGTGGAGGCCCCGGGACTCGGGCCCCGGTTGTCCCGCCGTAAATCCGCCCTGGGTAAGGCAAATTTTATCAAAACATAGTTTGTTAAAAAATGTTTAAGACAGTTAGATCTATTGAATACCTTTCAAAACATGCTGTCATTTTTTGGTAATGTTTGACATATAAGCAGTGGCGTAGCTAGCCTCGAGGGGGCCCCGTATAAAAAATCTGGTAGAGGCCCTTATACGGAAAAAGCTGCTGGTAAAAAAAAATTCTGGATGTCACGCCCAAAGTCTATTTTGGGCAAACAAAAAAAATTTTTTGGGTATAATTTTTTTGGATTTATCAATTTTTTATAATTTAATAAATAATATACAGGGTGTTATGTAATTAATGTTATATATTAAAATGGGTTGTTCCTTAGGGTCCATAAAGAAGCACCTGAAACTTTTTTTTTCTAAATTCCAAAGTCTAAAAATAATTTATAATCTTTATCCTACCAAAAAGTACGCCACTGATCGACTAGGAACTTTAGGTTAATCTGGTTGCCTAATTTAATTTATTATGTTATGGTACCAACGTTGGTGACAACAGTGTTTCCAAAATCTCTCAAAAAAGTTGACAAACATTGTTTAAATTTAGCTTAATTACAAAAATGACAAAATTAACAATGCAAATTGTCAATTTGGCCTTTTTATTAATTGTTGGTTATGTCATTTTTGTACTGAAGGTAAATTCCATGGAGCCCGAACTTAATAGGGAAAATTGACAAAACCTGCACTCTAAATTGCACAAATTAAGTCCACCAGCGGCGCTGATTGTTGATGCGCCCTGACGTCTGCTCTTTTGGTAGCGTTTCGGTACAAATTAGTCAATTGTTTCAGAATAAACGGGACACCAGCGCCTACTTTCCTTAGGAAGATTCTTGTTTACATGCAGTTCGGACTCCTTGTGTAGGCTCCATGGTAAATTCAAACAAAATCTGCCAACTTTTATGACAGAATCTAGTGCATTTCTTTCAAATTTTAGGTTATGTGCTCAAATTGTAAATATCTTAACTAAGGGAAGTGCTTTTGGATTTATTTACACAAATTAAATGTTTAAAGTTTAACCTGTAAAATGGTCCCTATTTCATCTGAGTAAACAGAAAGAAAAAAACTGAAGAAAAATTAATTTTGTGGTTATGGATTTTTTTAAATAGGTACTAAATTTTCTAATCATTGCTTAAGCTAATAGCTGGATGAGTAAATAAATAAGAAGGGTATTAGAGCTTTAAGGGCATACAACTTTTGAATTTATTGAGTTTTTATTTATTTTATGCAAAAAAAATTGTTAGTAACAATTTTTTACATCTGGCAACGCGCAGCTACTTTGTTGGTTGCTATCTATGTACTCACAGAACACAAGTGAGCAGAGATAAAGCAAGTGTGTAACCAGTGGCGTATCACAAAAAGTATAAAAAACTTCTAATGCATATTTTTTCTTTATCTTTGGAAAAATATTTTTTTAAATATTTTTCCTTTACTCCTTATGTCAATAGGTATTTAGTATTTTAATATGTAACAATAATTACATAACCTGTACATACATACATACATACATAGCTTTTTAAGCACAGGCAAATTTTAAAATTTGGTCTGGTTTTAGACATTTACCGTTCTTCAACATATTTTAAAAGGTTTCTATTTTAAAATAAAGGCAGGTCATTTAAAATAATTGTAACGCTAATAATTATTTCTAATTTTCTATTAATATAACCTATGACAATACAATTCATTATAATTAGAACCAATAAAATGCCAGTATTCCATGGTTACGCATTTTATCACAGCGACAATATTTTTTATCACCTTAACAATTGAATCGGTGAGATTAAGAACAGTACAAGTCCAAAAGTCAAAATGTTGACAAAATATATTAAAATATATATATATCTATCTATCTATATCTATTTTATATAAAATAATGTTCATATTCTTTAAAATGATTTATATCTTCTCAAAAAATTGTATTTTGAATTTTAAAATTGATTTTTAAAAAAGACTTGTCAAAATTAAATTTTTGGACTTGTACTGTTCTTATTCTTACCGATTCAATTGTTTACACGTTGCTAAGCATTTTGACACTTTTCTTGATTTGACATTTGTTGACATTTAAAATTTAAATTTTAAATACTGTGTTTGTTAAATGATTAAAATAATGAATTATAAACTCTAAAAGATCGATGGGTTGGTGTAAACGATTTTAAAATTAAGGTAAGTTTGAATAAATAGGGTTTATTAAAGTCTTTTTATAAGTATATTAAAGCACATTTTAATTTCAAATGTCAAACTGACAATTCGTTAAATTCTAAAATTCATTATATTTTCACACTAAATATAACTCGTGGTATGATTATTTATCGATAATATTTACTCATTAAAACCGAAGCAGCACATTTCACTCGTCCTTCGGACTCGTGAAATCTGCAGCTCGGTTTCAATTCGAAAATATCATCGATGATAATCATACCACTTGTTATATTATGAGTGATAATATCACGCAAAGCAGACTCAGCATGCTGCGCAGAGCACAGAACAATATGCGCAGACTGCGCCGCAGACAACGCTTAGCGGAAATGTGCGGGCAGAAACAATTCGTATGAGTTCAGGGCCTCGTTGGAACAGAAGGGTATTCAGGAAAAATTTAATTTAATAAATCGAAGTATAAACAATTAATTAAATTAATTTAATAATAATATTATTTATTTATTTATTTATTTAATTTCATGCCTTAATTTTTTTAACATGTGGATAATGTGTTTTTTGCTTACGCATGTCGAAGCCAATCGGGGGCCCCCCTAGCCCCTGCATATAAGTATGAACAGAATTAGACCAGAATAACCTCTTTGTATCTTGTAAAACCAATTAAGCTTGCTATTCGTCGTGTTGTGGATAAATTTTGATCCACAAAACATGACGCAAAGCCACAAAAGACTAAATTACCTATACACACCAAAATGCACTGTTGGTATCTTCCGCTGGTGGCATCGGTAATTATTTTTTTTTAAATAAGGCTGTAGTCAAGTTAACTAAGTCAACTAGTTAGCTACAACATTATATTGCGAAATGAACCAGTGCACAGTGGACTGGAATGGCAAAAAAGTGGCCAAAATCCATTAAAAAAAACTATAATAGTGTAACGTTTTTACTGTTCGTAGTGTGAATTAAAACACGCACTGGTTAATTAACGAACTAAACTATTTATTTAATAACTTAACTACACTTAAAACACTATAAAAGTAACTAAACACTTAACTACTAATTATTTATATATCACTACTGTTCAAGAGTCTATTTATTTGCACTTATATTTATTTATTTCGACGCGAGTACCAAAACTTAACTGACTGCTCCATGCAGCACCGTTCCTTATATATTCAGTGCCTACGTTCCCGAATATTCCAGCGAGCTCCACACAGCTCTAGATCGCTCGAGCGCTGAGTCGCCGGCGATTACTCATCGGCGATGAGTCATCATTCCGAAATCCAGAGCCGTACTCGCTACAATAGATATCATTGTGAAATTTTAACAGCATATTTTTGTGGTATTAATCTTGATCCTGTACAAATTTTAATTCAATTGGCTTAGTGACGGCGATTTTATAAGGGTTTAAATGATTAAAATAACAATAACAACATAGGTTTATAATTTAATTATATTAAAATATATCAAATATATCATTATGAACTTTTAAGACTAGTTTCACATATTAATAGTTTTGACTCTGTACAAATTTAAATTTAATTGAATCATTAGCGCAGCCATTCCACACTACTCGGGAATTTTTGTAGCGTCCGTTACAATCAAAAATTGTGAGTAAAAGCCACCGTAATTTAATTAAATACTATTACAATGGTTACTGTTGCAAACATGTTTATTATGCTTGTAATGATTAGGCTTAAGCTTATAAGCATCATAATTACGGTAGTTTTTCTCACAATTTTTTATTGTAACGGACGCTACAAAAATTCCCGAGTAACGTGAAATGGCTGAGCGGCGATTTTATAAAGCTTAAAATGATTAAAATTTTATTAATAGCAAGTCAAAAAAAAATAACTATTTAAAATAACATTATGAAATTTTACCACAATCTTTATATATTAAGAATCTTTATTGTACAAATTTTTATTTTATTTAGATCCTAAGTGATGATTTTGATGTTTTTTATTATTCACCCAAAATTATGCAATAGCAAACGACATTAAATAAAAATTGTACACCTGCTATAACGCGCTTCACTTACCCCATATACAGCGCCGAAATAATGTACCGCAAAATAAAAAAGCCTTATTAACTTTCGTAGACGGATACTGACAAATGAAAATTTTACATAGTCTTGTTCACAATATTTTGGTCTAAAAAATGAATAAAATTAGGTCAGCTTGATTTCCAAAGAAAAAAATTAAAAGTTAAAAATGGTGGTAGGGTTTTTGGCTTCGAGATCATGCGATTTGATGCCACTCGATTACTTATTTTAGGGCTATACAAGGTCTTTGGTGTTGCTGATAAACCAAAAACTATTCAGAACTTGGAAGTCAATAATATTTATCGCGTTATTGGCGAGATCGAGACCCCAATGCTTGAATTTCTTTTAATAATAAAAATTGGAATGTTTAAAATGTGCTTAAACGCCTTATTATGTGAACAAATTATAGTGAAGTTACCATAAACAATTTAAATAATTCTTTTATGTTTAACCATAAAAAATATATCAAATAAAACACACCTTATTCCAGTGTTAAATACATATTGACTGTATGTAATATTTTGTATTTGCTTTACTATGTTCTTGTTTAAAAAACCTTGATTTATTTTAAAGATATTTTTATTTTACTTACTGAATTAATTATAATATTGAAGTTTCCCGGGGAAATGTTATCGCAGAGGGTTTGGGATCCAAGCCAAAAATGATTTCCCCAAAACCAGCCATTGGAGTAGCGACCACTGGCATCATCCACTATAAAAAAATAGACATTAGGTATTTATTAAATTGTGTTTTATTAAATTATGTTAGTCATTATATAACGCATAGTTGTAAAAAAGTAGGCCAATTTAGCTTAAAATGAAACCTGCTTTCTTTATAGCATGTACCGTTCTTAAGCACTTCTTAAGTAATGGTTATGTCATCCTTCGATATACATACACTTTCAATTATACTAATTCTATCGACCCACTGTCGCTATCGTTACGTTCTTATATATCACAACTCCAACATAATCGCGTCTTACACATAGAAGGATACTTGGTGCACCCTGTAAACTAAAGGGTTTACCAACAAATTTTATGTAAGTTGTGTTTTAAGTATAAATGTTTCGATGATAAGTATAAGTTTTATAATATATGTCTACATAATAAAATATTATTATGTATTAGCTGATTTCTAATTGCATTAAAGAAAAATTACGAAAATAATTATCAAAAATTTAATCTTTTGCCTACATACCTTAATATGTAATTATGTGTTAGTACGTGATATTATATTAGATTAGATATATTATATTAGATTATAATTTTTTAGGAAAATTATTGTTAAAAATATCGGCATCAAATTCTTGCATTAAATTAAAAAAATACCTAAAAGTTGTTTTGTTACCATTTTAAGGGTTTTAAGATTTAGTAAATATTGTCACAAATTAAAGAACATATTTTTTAATTTATTTTTTTATAACAAATGAATTAATTAATTTTATTATATTATTTTAAATTAAGATTAAATGTTCTTATAATGTAGTAGATGAAACTAATTTCAAAAGGATTTATACTTTTAACAGTGAGTAAGAATGTGTTCTATAGATACTTTACAGACTTCACAGGTGGGTGTGGTTTGTCCAAGTTTGACCCGGGAATAAACTATTTAATCCTTCTTTTTAGAGGTGTATCAAGAGAAGAAACTACATTTACTGCTTTGCTGTTGGTTTGTGTTTGTCAGCATTCATTTTATTTTTTGTTAATTTTATTTTATTTCGAGGAATCACATTTAATTAGAAAAGATGAGAAAGGTTTTTTGGTAAACATGATTAGAGCCTCGAGGATAGAACTCTGCCCTAATAAGAGTTCGGGTGGTATACCACTTATAGCCGGAAGTTCCGAGGCTGTGAAAATTTCGCCTCTGTCTAGCGACTCTCAACGATGCAGGTTACCTTGACGCGCTTTGCACCTGGATTTTTATTTACGCTTAGTATGATTGATTGGTTTTTTACTTTTTATTGGGTAGAACTGTTTTAAAAATACACTTGTAATAGGCAAAAATCTAAATACAAAAAGTCGTTCGTTCCTTCATTTTAAGGGTGAGGCGCGGCCTCAGAGGCCTACCCTGACGAGCCGCCACTGGTACGTATACGTATTTGGCCCAAGAAAAAAAGTCTACTAATCTACAAAAATTACGTACCTTATATTATTATAATTCCTTTTAAAATTTTAAGTTGTTAAGATAAAATGTTGTAATCCATTCGGCTGGGACGCGTCTTTGTGTGCTCGGCTCAATTGTACGCCTCCGCTAACTTTAAACTTTGAGCTAAGCACAAAAATACTTACTTTTTAGCGTTATGACATACATAACAATTATGCAATTCGTTATAAACTTAACTTGCCCTTCCATTTATAAAAGATGTAAAAACCTTGTTATAGAAACAAAGTAGGTATACTTTGTTTCGTATATATAAAAAATTGCTAAAATTATTTGTCTTTTTAAAAAGGGTGATAAAAGTTCAATTCAAAACTATAGACCAATAGCGCTTTTGTCAGTCATCTCAAAAATTCTTGAAAAATGTCTAGCTGGACGAATAATTGAATTTTTGGATATTCACAATATATTATTAAAAAATCAGCATGGTTTTCATCACCTTAATGCCAAATTTAAAGTTATGGCTTCATTTGTCGATCTTTCAAAAGCATTCGATTGCGTCAATCATAAAATTCTACTTAAAAAATTGAATGTTATGGTTTGCGTGGCCAGTGTAATAAATTATTAAAATCCTATTTGTCAAACAAAAAGCAATTTGTTCTTTTTGAGGACGAAAAATCAGACGTTTGTAATGTTGCCAAGGAATATTAAGTAATGACTTGCAACATGAATTAAATATATATCACTGTTCATTTGCTGATGATATTACGATTATTTTAATTGCCAATAATGAATTAGAAATGTCCAATAAACTTAACTTAAATATGAATAAAATTTACAATTATTTTCTAAAAAATGGGTTATCTTTAAACCAGGAAAAAACTTTTAATATTGAATTTCATCCATATGGTGCATATTGCATTAAAAGTCCACTTATTAAATTAAACAATAAATTTATTCATCCACTAGATCAGATCACGATATAGAACAAGTCAACAACAAAAAATTACATTATAATATAATAACGCATCTAAAGCGATTTGAAGTTAACATGGTAATAACATTAACATATACGTATTTTCTGTCAGAAAACACAAACTTTAAATCATCATAACTTTCTTATTATTAACAAATTATAACTTTTTTATAAATAAACACTTTCAAAAATTAAAATAAAATACAATTTTTAAAACTACTGATACTTAAAATAACCCCCTTACAGCGGGACACCCTGTATAATACTTTTTGATTATAATTGTTTTGATAAATTAAAATGACTATTAAAACATCAGCAATAAGTTAAATCGATATTGAAGTAAAATACTGAGTTTTCTTTTATACAGATCAATTATAATTATGATTATTTATCCTCAATCGGTCTATAATTTAAACATTATTATTGTCAACGCTCACTACTAAAGTGATTGATTACCTCCCTGGCTCTAAAAACAATTTTGACCAATTAAAAATTCGATAACTGCAGTTATCGAATTTTTAATTGGTCAAAATTGTTTTTAGAGCCAGGGAGGTAATCAATCACTTTAGTAGTGAGCGTTGACAATAATAATGTTTAAATTATAGACCGATTGAGGATAAATAATGGTAGTATATATACAACTACCTCACTTTAAATTTTTAATTATTATTATAATTATATGCAATCAAAAAGACTCGCTTCTCATCCTAATGACAAATCAATATTATTAGATACACTTATTTTAGTATAATCTTTATGAAATAAGAAAGTGATGACAATTTTTTTACAAAGAAATTTGTTTATACTATACTTTTTAATTATGGTCTTTATCGGAAATGTTATTTATTTTGTTTTGTAATTTATTTAGTGACTAATTTTTAAAAACGGTAAATACTAAATTGATTAAATAATTAAATTGTAAGACCTTGATACATTACATATTTGATACGTGAAAAAACTATCAATTGTAATGTTTGATTCAATTTAGGATATCTATAATTTATAGTCTATTATAACAAATTAAGAATATGAGTTAATATCTAATTATAATTATAAATGAATAAAAAAATAATATTTAAATAATTATCTATAAGCTATTATCTAATTTTTGTAATTTGTGTTATATTTTGGAAAATATTTCTTTAGTAATTGATATTTGTACCAACATCAATGTCCCCCTTTGCCACCCCAGTAAAGCCACTAAAAGGAATGCTTATATTCTTGTATGGCACTTAATTAAACAATTAAAAATATTGTTTACTTAAATAACTAATTTGATGCTTTCGAATCATGCGTGCCAAACATAACGCAATACTTTCTTCTAATTACTACCTAATAGCAACCTTAAAATAACCATAAATAATGCAAGAAAAAGTTGAAAAACCAGCCATAGTAAAATAGGCAAAAGCAATTTAATCATGCATGTTTTATACTTTATATAATAAAATATAATATAAAAAAGACAAAAGTGAACAGTTGTTGCGCTTATTGCGATTTATTTATTAAGTTAATATTTGGACTGTAACTTTTTACTCTAATTTTCTATTATATTACAATATAACATTGGACACAAAACAACTCAATACGTTGAACTTATCTTACCGGTATGTTTATAAGTATAAAATAAACATTATTCTAGATTTCAGAATTAATTAATAATTAAATCAATTATTGTATAAATGCATACAAATAATTAAAAAATGCAGTTATAAATTTACGGTGATTATGCTACGCTTTTACTTTTATTATTATTTTAACAATCATGAGGTAAATTTAATTTTGAAGTTTTTTTGTTTTTCTTTGGAGGATTGTCTTAATAATTAAATTGCTTTCTCTAAAATGCAAAATGATCTAACAATTTAATTAAGATCCTAGAATCAACAAAAACGAAATAAAATTGCAGTTACATAAAATGCGTTGTTATGGGCTGTTCAATGTTTAAATAGATAGGTACCTAACATGTTTTCTTGATTTTACAAAGAACTTTCACGACAAATCGTAATAAAAGTCACGCGGTAAAATTTTGTTCAAAGCATAACTGATATTGTTAGGGAAGTATAAAAAGATGGTTTTAATAGAATTGTTAAAGTTATTACCTATTATTGATTATATATTCTCAAGTTTGAAAGTGAACGTAAAAAAATATTGTCACGAGGCCGCAATAAAAAATCATTATTTATTATTAATAGGTAGATGAAAGGCATTTTTGTATACAAATATAAGACAATTTGGATATGGATATGAAAACATTATTTTAGACTAAGGGCCGGTTTTTCAATCGTTGGTTAAGTTTATCTTACGGTTAACTTTCTTAGATACTATTGTCTTAACAATAGTATCTAAGGAAATTAACCGTAAGATAAACTTAACCAACGATTGAAAAACCGGCCCTAAGTTGTTAACAAATAAAATATTTAACAATACAAACAAGGTAAGGAGTTTTACTGGCTCAAGAATGTGACATGCTTCCTTGCTATGCTATGCTATGCTAGTAATGTTATACTTTATGTATACTTTTATCTTCCCAGCCAACAAAATTTGGGCTGGAATTGGTCAAAGTAAACCTATTGAACTTAACCCATTAAGGACCACGGTATCGCAAAACATGTGTAGCAAAATTCCTAACCCTGCGGTTGAC